TGGCAAAGCAGCAGCAGCGGCAACAACAGAAAAAACCGAATTGTGCATTTTTCGAATGCCACACAGAATATCGAGAGTATCGAGTGTTTTGCATTGTCATGTGTCGCACAAATACAAATATTGGTATTCATTGACAAGTACCGACAGTTTTGGAAAAGAATCGAACACAAAAATAACACCCAACCAAGCACATTTCATTGATTTCACATTTTCAAAAGAATGAACTCGTTTTTATTTCGCACTTTCAAATGGAATGGAATGAAAGAGGGAGAGAGAGAGTGAAAAAAATCTACATTTTTTGATAGCCATCGGTTGATATTTTCCCTTTTTGCGAACCTATATCAAACGAGATCTCATTTCAAGAGTGCGAGTGACCGATTCAATAGAATCAGAACAGAAAAAAAAGCGAAAGAGGGAGAGCAAAAAAAAAACATGTACAAAAAAAATAAAAGCATTTAGTTATTATGTTCGGCACGTCATTTAACATTTGTTTTTCAATTTCGTCCAACCGTTTTTTTTCTAGCATGTTACTTTTTTTCTCTTCTCGGAATGCATTTCATTACATTATTGAATACATGTTGAAAATGGTTCGCTCAGAGTAAATACTGTTTGGAGAGAGAGAGTGAGACAAACAAATAGTCATAATTGCACTTTTTTCCAGCCACAACTACGTATGATTATTTGCACACCGTGGCGATGGCATGAAGGTCGCAATTTAATGATCGAGCTCTAGATTAAGCAACGTGCTTTCATTTTCTTCTACAAAATCAATTCTTAAAAAACACAACGAATCAATGGCCAAGATATGGCTGAATCGCATTACACGCAGAACACAGTCTATAGAGTTAAAATCGAATAAATTATGTGAATCACTTGATGATCTAGAATATGGACGCGGTAATAATAATTTCATTTTTCCGTGTCTTTTGTGCTTGTAATTGGTTGCATTCCAGTCATCATCACATGTATGTATATTAATCAAAATTGTGACACGCGATGTGTTGCCATTATCATCGACCGTACTTTTTTTTCTATGTAAAACCGTTTTCTAAAGTTGCTCTCCTTTTTTGCAGTACAGTTTAAAATGTTTGTGTTTGTTTTCATCTTCAGTGTAATGATAAGGCAATCAGTTCAAAACCAGCCTTCCAATGACTGTTCAAAAAGAGTTGTTAGCAGGCAAAAAGGAGAGGAGCGGAAATCTTTCATGTCATTGAAATGTCTACTTTGAAAAAAAGTTGCAAAATTTGATGATTGTTTTTCCGGCAGCGGTGTGTGTGCGTAATCATCGGTCTGTTCAAAAAAGGGTGTTGAAGCGACGACAATGTAATGTGTTGCCGCTTACCAATCCGACGAGATGACACTCTGTGTGAGCTGTATCACATTTGTGTGTTGCATTTAACAAGGCAATTATGCCGGATGGCAAGTGAGAAAAATATGCTATTAATTATTGCAATATCATCAAAAAATATGCTTTTGTCATTATCTTAAGCAATTAAGGGAGCACTCGAACGCATTGTATCGTTCGTCGAACACAAGCCGTCAGAGATAATCCAATGTTTGCTATCGAAACGAATAAAAATGGGATGAAGAGAAAGAAACTGAGAGATACAACCAAGTACAGAAAAGTTGTTGGCAGGCATAATTTCATTCGAAATCCCGAAATACTCTCCCCCATACTGGTTTTTGTGTTCCAACACAAAAACCACTGAAAACTCATTTTTCTGTATACTATAATCTAGCAAATTTATATTGTCTTCTATATTGCCAAATTATTTCTCAAGTTAGATTACAAAGTTATTTTTGGCACATTACATGGATGCATTGGAATGAATTTTGTCGACGCAGAGGGAGAGGGAGAGAGAGTCAATGTGTTCTTTCCTCGTGTTCGCCTCTTGTGCGTAGTCTCCTTTTGTGATTACAAGCACAACAAACAATGTGTTTGTTCACGATGGGCCCATTGTGTTTCGATGCTTAACTACGCGCACCGAGCGCGCACACACACAATACGTGTGTGAGAGCAATCAAAAACAAAGTATTTTGTTTGTAAGGATCATCAATCTTATTCGCATTTAGAAAGTAGCGCCTTTGTGTGCACACGAAAACTCTTTTGTGTGTGTGTGATTTGGTCGGCACATTCAATTGGCTGGCATTTCATTGGAAACGAAAATTTTTCTCTAATTCGTTTACGTTCTGTGAACTGGTTTGACAGCATCAACAATACACCCAAAACGCATTCGCACAAGCGGTGAACGAAGCCAGCAGACGAATTTCATATGAATATTTTCACAATAAACGGATCTATTTTTTTTAATAGAAGAAGAAAAACGAGAAAACTTTCTACGGAATGCACAACGGCTAAGAGAGGAGAGAAAAAAAATGAAGCATTTTTATTTGACTTTACTATTTACTTTGTATCGCGTTATTAAATACGAAACCAGTGCGAATCTACGATTTTCCCATTTCAATTGCAGGCTTTAAGAGACAATGACATCATCTGAAAAGTAGCAATTGCTCTTTAAAAGTGTATAATTCGCACCACTCGCCCGAGTACGAGATACCGAGTCGGTATTATCGACCAGATACACAGTTTTCAAACAACGTAGTAATAACGTTGTTGATTCTAAATGTCATATATGATGTGGTGGTGGTGTTAAGGTGCCCGGAACAGTGCTCTTAAATTACAAAACTGGATTAAGATGTACATTTAACAAAGGATAAGATAAAGAGAGAGAGAGAGAGAGAGAGAGAGAGGGAAATAAGAAACATGTATCCATATATATGTATATATTTGGAGCGAGCTTATTACGGTGTCTTTATTTACAGCCAAGTAATAAAGTTGACATTGTTCGGTTTCTGAGAAGAAGCAAACGAAACTGGTCCAAGTGCATTTCGCACGTCAAACGCGAGTCTTTTGTTTACAAGTTGTCATCTGATAACAGCAATTCCACTCCTTTTTTTCTCTGCTCTTCTCTTAAATAGAACAAGAAATGATAGAAATACGAAGTAAGACTTGAGATAAATTGTTGATGAAACACTCCACTCAGCCTTCGTTATTCCATTTAAATACACAATTGAATAGCCTTCACATTTTATGTTTGATTAATGCCAATTCAATTGAATAACTTGCTTGCTTTCTCATCCGATGCCTTAGAAACCAATAAATTAATCAAGAAGAAAAATGCAGAAGAAGAAGAAGAAAAATATAAAAGGCAAAAATTAATATGCTTCAGTCAAGTGAAGTCATAATGCGTAGCATGCTTCAGAACAAACAATTCCATTAGTGGGGTCCTCATTGTAATTGCTGCAGTTGAAAACAGTTAACAAAACAAATTAATGAAATGCCGCAATTGAATAAGACGATTTAGACATTTGTTTGCGTTTTTGCAAGAAAACACACCAAACAATGACTTGTTACTTCGTTTGAAAGGGCATTCAGTACTATGTGTTTGAGGTCGAGCGATTGGTGAAGGTTTATTTTTTCATTCCATAATTTCGATCGTGGAGTGTGAAAAAAAAATTGTAGATATAAATTGACTTTCGAATGGTTCGCATTTTTTCTTCATTTCGGATCAGTTTTCGCTTTGGGGAAGCCATTATAAAAAGAGACCGTTTTGCATACAGTGTATGACAACCATCCAATGCGTTCCAAAGACATGGATGACAACACCAATTTGTCATCTTTCGCCTTTTGTGAAACTCTCTAAATGGCAAGAAAATGGTCCAACATAAATAATGTGAATATCTTCAATTTTTTTCGAAAATGTCAACATGAATTCTTCCTCCAGCACGTCGACATCGTCATTTCCGAAGCGAGGGGTCAATATAAATCAGATTAATAGGTCTTTCATCCTCCATCAAATAAGGAATGTTTAGAAATTTTACACACTGAGTAATACTCATGCTACTTTGACGCAGCCGATGCCAATGCAAAACAGTCTCAATTAAGTTTATGGCCATTTTCCCCTCTCATATTCACGATTATGGTTGGCATGAGCTTTATCTTAAAGTCACCAGATGAATTATTTTATGTAATTCAATGTTAGCTCTCAATTGATGAATGAATGAATAGAAAAAAAAGTCGCAAAGAATCGGTTCAATTGTTTAAATTTCCGAAAACACCACATGATATCATTGGATTGCCCCCAAAAAATGTTTATTGAATCATGCAAAATCCGGAGATATGCTGAGCATTAAGTCGGTTCCATTGAAGCGGACGACTGCCGCAGATCTCGTGTGACTCAGCCGTGGAATCTCGATTAAAAGAATTATTGTTTGCCTTTTACACACTCATTCACATGCCTCAGTTGCGTCTACAATTGAAGCGGCGCGTAATAAGTAGTTTTATGTGAATGTGTCAGCTGAAATGAAATATTACTTTGCTAAAATGTTGTCTTTTTTGCCGCTATGATGGAATGGCAACCGCGTCGCTTCTCTCTCGTTGCTCATTGTATTTTTTTTACAGTCAATTAATTCGGATTTTTATTTGCTGACACAACATCAACACTGAGCCAGCCGGAGCTGTAGTGTTGGGAATTGGAATGGATTATTGAAATTTATTGGCTTGAATTGAACTAAAAATGTAAATATTTACGATCGGATGAATGGATGAATTATGCAATTTTTTTACGCATTCGCATCAACAACAACGAGCGAGTGTGAAAAAAAAACAACATAATAATAGTGAACACAAAAAAGCAGCAACATTTTTAGATTATAGCTTAAATATACGCGTAGGCGTTTAGTTCGCGATCTGCTATGTTCACTACTTGAATTGAACTAAAAATCTATACATTTCGCTGCAGGGAAACCGTGTGTTTTCCGCACTCAAATCAAAGCATATCGGAGATTTTTGATGTCTTGCGCGAACGCGCGTACATTGGGCGCCGCGCACAACGTTCAACGAACGAACGGGCTTAACTTTTGAGATTTACGATCGACTTTTCGAAAAGCCAAGCTGAAAATGTCTCAATCTGAAATTGAAATTTTGTATTTACACTTACCGCATATTTCAAATCCCGTTGAACGCGATACCGCGCATTCAGACTGTTGAGTTTTTCATAGTAGATTTGGTTGATCATTTTATCAGAATACATGTTTCTCTCCTTATTTTGCTCCGTTTAGAATTAGTATTATTGTCGTCGTCGTCGTCGTCGTCGTTATTCTCTTTTTTTCTTCCTAAGTATTAAGCCTTTTCTTTGCGTTGCGTCAAAAAATTTGATTCAAATTAAAATATATGTATATCCGTGAGTGAAAAATGTGGTTGAGTCGTTAAAAACTATCACAAATCAAGATAAAGTCACAAATCGAATGAAGTCGTCGTCGTCGTCGGTTTTTCCTTCTTCGTCGTCTTCAGTTAAATGGTGCAAATCGTTTCCGGTGCTAAATCGATGTCAAAAGCATTTTTGTTCGCCAACGGTTTTTTTATTTTTCTTCTTCTTCTTCTTCTTCTTTCCGATATCGTCGACTGCTCAGCCTCGCACAGTGATTTGTGTACGTTCCATTGGAACTATTCAATGGAAAAATGTCAAAGAACTGCCGACAAATCGAATAAAAAAATAATGACACAAAGAATAGAAGAACGGAAAAATGGCGCTTAAATTGAGTGTTTAATTTTGGGCTTTATAACAAGAGGTAATAAAAAAAAGTGCTGCAAAAAAATCACACAAAAAGAAAGAAACACACGAATTAGTTTTGAAAGCGGAATAAAATATTTGCAGAGAAAACGATTTCCTTTTTCACTTCTTCATTCTCTTTTCCGATTTCTTTTTTTTTTCTGCACGTATTCAGCCAGCGTTTTTCTTTTCGCAATGCTTTCAAGATGATTTCACTCGGAAAAGGTCTTGAGCTGTGCTCGATGATGATGTTGATGATCGGTGATGAGGAAAAATTCGCAATAACTTTTCTTATAATTGACGTCTTCATCATATCAAACACAAGCGACATCAGCACAATCAAGCATCAGCAGCAATAATAACAACGGCACACCACATACTCATTCACAACATCGACGTCTCTTCGATAAAATAATCAAAGATAAAAGTTTATCCGTAAAGATAAGCGAAAGAGAGCAAGTGAGAGAGAAAAACGTAGAGAAAAAAACCGAAGATATCACACCGTCGCACTGCTCCAAACAATATTGAATATCGATTCGTTTTCACGGAATCTCGCATCAAATCCATAAATATATATATATGTTTATAACATAATCTAGTAAGATATAGATTCAATAACGAATGAGAGAAAAAAAAGACCGAAAATAAAAGATGATGAAGAAAATGGGATCGAATTGCGAGTGAAAGCGAGCATTTTATGTGTGAAGGGATGTCGGTGGAGCCGATGAGGAAAAAAGGTATCTGATCAAGACAAGAATGGCTGTGGAGAAAAGGAGAAAAAAACATTATTTCGCTTGAGCACAAGAAATGACGGTGGCAAGAGAGCGAAACTGAGTGTAAGGAAGGGTGGGTGCGTGAGAGTAAGAGCGAGAAACAATCGGGCCCATCAACTTTGGAGGAAAATTGGAAAAAATTCTAAAAATGTCATATAATTGATGAGCTTTGAAGGTTTCGCCAATAAATACGTGCCACACCGCATACAGCTAGATAAGCACACGAAAGTGGTGTAAAATCGATGAAGACCACGATAGACATCCGAGATTGTGCAAAAAGCAAATAGCAGACGTTACAAAAGCATACAACACACACACAAACACTCACTCACATTCACTCACATAGTCACAGTCACATTATCCTTGGCTTGCTCCTCAACGGTACGAAATCGAAACGATTTTTCTTCGACTTGTCCGTGTGGAACAGCTGACTGAACGGACTGGAATATCAACCGCAAACTCATCGTTTAAAATGAATTGCATACACTCTTTCTCTCGGTCGTTCGTTCGTTCGCTCACTTGCCACAAATAAGCACACCCAAAAAGGTTGTTAGTAATGATGTGAATGGATAATAGTGCCGGCAGTTTATATGAGTTTTCTCAACAACTTTTGTTTTTCACTCTCGTTGACATTTTCGCCACACATTGTGTCAACACAAAATGGACGTTGGCTGTGACCGAAAACTTTTCCAAAATTATTTGCTATATCGAATTGGTGGGGCCATTCTTGTCGCAAACTACGGAAAATATTACGCTATTATCGTCAAAATAAATGATGGAGCTCTTGCCAAATCGAGACGTTTACGAAAATTAATGTCTCTATTTTAATTAAAAAGATGATAATTAGACATTGGCGACGGTGGTTGGGTAGGGGCAGTACTCGGTTGAATACTTTTTGCACGCGCGCTCGTGTGCGTGTGAGTGAGTTCCACTGATAACTCATTTTGGTTCACTGATGATTGCAAATCAATTGGCTTTTGATGGTTGTTTAATTTAATTTTGTCTATTTACAAGTCGAACGTCGCACAGCTCCAACGCATGGATATAACTCTATTTACAAATGGTGTATTTGTTTAGTTGTCTATTGCAGCAGAAAGCAGCAGCAGCAGCAGCAGTAGCAGTAGCAACGTACGTATACAAACAGGCTGTGCATGTTCAAACACAATGCTCACAAAGCTTGGCTTGACCCAGTTCACACGTACCGTACGGACGTAACACATGCACACCCGATTTGGCGATTAGAAGCGGCTTACACAGGACAATTTATGTATAACCATTCGAAAATTCCCAAACATTGACTCCATCGCCAGCGATGATGATGTCGATGGCAGCTATTTTTGCAGCGGCACAACAAGAAGCAAAATGCAGTCGACAACAACTTTTGCTAAATATTTGGCGGACAACATCACTGCCAAATGATAACACACGTATATACAGCATACACAACTGACACTTGACTGCTCTATGCAAGCAAACACATGAAAATTGAAATTCGCTTAACAAATAACAGCAATGCAGAAAAACAGTAGATAGCAAACTAGTATGCTATTTGGGCACAATGGAAATGAAGAAGCACTCTCCCTCGAAAAAAAAACGTCACATACACTAACGACGAAGGCTTTTCATTCTAAAAACTCAATTGCAATATATTTCAATTGTTCTATTAGGTTTATAATGCCTAATTTCATTTGGGCAGCTTCAATAGCTAGCATACAGCATACCACAAAAGCGATGAATAATTTAAAAAATAACAACGAAGAAACGGCACAATTTTCCCAAAACGAATCGAGTACTTGAGCTTTGGACGGCCTTTTTGTACATTTTTCGTCACAACGGTTGTTGCGGTTTTATTCTCAATGTGCCATTAATTCACGCATCATTCACTTTGAAATGTCCATGAGCAAATGTTGATAGCAATCGTTCTCAATTATTTTCCGGCGGGTACAGAGGGTGAAATAAATGATTCCCATTTCAGATACGTGTCACTTTGTATTTTCGAAACGTAGGCCTAATTTTCCACACCAAAAACTTTTTTCTATTCGGTGCATTTTTCACACTGTCTCTAGAAATGCGATAAAATCGACACACACGTACACATTTCACTTCTATTCAACTGCGATTTGGGGCGTTGGTATTTGTGTGTATGTGTGGCTTTCAAAATAATTTATTGCAATAATTTATGTTGCACACACGTCTTTAGTGTTATTTATGAAACTATTTCCATGTAAATAGAGAGATTAAATACGTTGTCAACCATGTGATAAAAAATACTTCCTAGGTTTTTGGCGTTGAAGTGTGTGTGTGTTACGAAACCTCTCGATTTTACATTGTGATCATTTTTGTGCAGTAGAACAGATGCAGTTACCAATTTTTGCATTATTTGTTAAAGGTGAGGCGGTACCAGTGTGTACGCCTGCGGCAATATGTAAATTTTTCAACTTTAACAACACTATTATGGGAGTCAATTTTCGCATATTTTATCTGCATACCAAGTCATGATTTTTGTTTATGCCAAATCGTGGCGGAAAAGTTGTGGAAATGGAAATTGAACGAAAATATTCGAATATTTAACGACATTCGGTTGTAAGTAAAAGTCGTGATTATAAAAAATGCAGACAGAGAAATGACACAGTTTCGGTGTAATTAAATTTTCAAATAAAGTCGAATAAGGAATAAGACATGTTTTTTTAGGCCGAAAAAAGTGAATTTGCCTGCGGGACGACACTTCATTTTTATTCAAACAAAGAGAATTAATGAAAATTCATTGAATTTTCATTGTTCCATTTATTATTATTCCAAGTGTGTATGAAGCAAGCGTGCATCTTTTTTTATTTCGGGGAGATTAGCTCCCGCAAGCGAATTTCTTTTGTTTTCATAGTGTTGAGCCAGCGGGCTTAATTTTATTGCAAATTAAATGCAACCAAACGCAAATAACCATTGTGGATTATGTCAAAAAATAACAAATTTCCAAATGCAACCAACCACACTAATACACCAAAAAAATATTGGACATCACTGTCTACGTCATTTCTTGTCGTAGCCTCCAGTATCCATGTCAAAACCAATACACAAATATGCTGCTGATGGTGGTGCTGTTGTTACACACTGCACTGCAGATAATTCATCTGGTGAATTTACCAAAAAAAAATGTATACAAAAGACATACGGTGTTTGTGATAGTTGAACATGTGCTACGCTACAACCACTAGGGGACTAGGCTGAGTGAAAATGTTCGAAATTCGAAATGAAAAGTGTTTCAATCCTTTTTGCCCCATTCACTGTCCCAGCCAATTCGTTAAATTTTTTTAATGGAATCAGTTTTATGAAGTCGATCGACTCGTTAATAAAACGATGTGGATTCGAACAGCAGCACATATCAAAAAACAGTTGACAATTGGTTCGCATTTTCTTCAATGGAAAATTGCAAATGTTTGCCATTTCACTGTTTCATTTCTCTATCGATTTTCAGTTTTGTAAACAATTTTCCCAATGCATGCAATGTAATATGTCGATGTGGATATTTTGTTCGTTGCACGCTCTTCCGTTCCCGTCCATACGTGAATATGCACATTTATCACCGAACAACCATCAAAATAAATGTCGTTATCGGTTCTGTTGAATAAATTTTTGATGCGAAGTTAATGAACCACCATTTTCTGAGGATATTTTTGTCATAAACAGTCCGTATTTCATTCGCAAAGCATATTTTCAATTCGCTCGCAAAATGCAAAATGCACCAAATCAATTCGACATGAAATATGCGTGGTATGATGTTCAAATATGAATTTTCCAACCATTGTTTGGTAAGCCTTTGATTTTCCATCGAAAATTGGCGAAAATTTTATGAAAACTTAAACTCGTTGAAACTCACATTTCGAACGCAGTGCTTGAGGTAGCCCCAAAACCATGATACACATACACACAATATGATTATGCCATTTCATTCCGTATGTGGCCAAATGTCAATAACACCGTAACTTCTAATGTATTCCATAATGAAATCGATTTTTGATGGAGGGTGAATGACGTTGCTGCTCCATTGTTTACTCTATCTCTTGCCGTCGTCGTCGTCGTTGTTTGCCGCGAATCATAAGAGATTCCATTTCAAATATAACAAATCTTTCCCGAAACGTTTCCTTCTCATGAATAATCGATGGGAATCCTTATGTAAGCACATTGCTGCTGCTGCTGCTACTGCTAACGAGAGAAATTAACGTGCCTCGCACAGACATTATTTGATCATGAGTAGAAATTTACCGTTATTTGAACGATTTGGTTTTGGAGATGAACCAAAAATAGACCACATTCCACAGGGAGTTTTCAACGCAGAAACAAAACTATCCAGTCAACACTTTTTTCGGTGTGTCGGTAAAATGGATTCGATTTCAATTTAATTCTCATGAGAAACACATTCGCAATTCGTAAGCCATTTCTCAAGTTTTCGCAACCGATGTTGGGAATTATTCGCAAATTTCTGGTGATTTTCGGCAATATCATTAAAACATAATTTATATGATTAGGTGTGTGTTTATACGATCTATGTAGCAATTTCATTCAACAAAAATTGCGAAGATATTCACACTTCAGAGCCAATGTTGATGTTTTCCAAAAGGAAAAAAAATGTTTCGCCTGCGTTGATCGTATTTCGACGACATAACAAAGACCACTGTGAACTCTTATCACTGCTGCTGCTGCCTTTTCGTGTTTACTGCTGATGTTGATGTTTTTTTATTCGTAATGATGTTATCATAAGCAAATATGCTTCTTTTTTTCTGCTTGCACGTTGTGTGACCCATCGTCCAAATCTGATGAAATGAAACGCACCGAACCGAACATCGAGAGAAGAAAAACCTGACCTCAACGCTCTTTGCATTAATATCTTTTTATCAATTATGTTAGAGAGAAATTATCTAGGAAATTATGACTGAAATCCTCTCGCCTGATAAAAAGAATGCGAAGCAAAAAAAAGGACCAGAAAAAATGAACGTGAAAAAGAAAACGACAGAATAACCAACAACAACAATAATTCGAAAATTTGTTCAAAAGAACCACTAACTGTTATTCGGTGTACACGGTATTTCGTTTACGTATCCCTAACAAACGAAAATAATGCTTAATGCGACTGTACGCTATGCAACCCGCATCACAACTGAATCAAGCCATCTACAACATAAGGTTCAAGGATTCCACACACAAAATAATAATAGTAATAAAATGGATGGTGTTGGGGACCAGAGAGTGAGTGAGCGAGAGAAAAAAAAGAGGAAAAACGGTATATTTGGAATCTGAGAAAGCGCCAATAACACTCTCAATATTGCACACTGTTGTGAGTGGTGCTGCAAACGTTGTTCCATGTGTACCAAAGGCATGGATGGAGCGAGCAAGCAAGCAAGAGCCATCCAAAAAAGCAAACAACAATACAAACGGTGGTGGTTATGCCGAAAAACTTTCAGTGTATGCTTGAAAATTCTGCATTCGCTGTGCCATTTGATGAGAGCGACATAGGCGCACCAATAAAAGCGCCATACACACGATGCATGCCGAAAATCCAAAATTTGTCCCTGATCCATCGCAGTTTGAATGCGAAAATAGTTGCTTTTCGCCCGATTGTTCGCTTCACTTTCGTTTGCAAAGTGTAACGCGTTTTAGAGGCTGTTGTACCAATTGTCGATCGATTCACCTTAAATAGTGGTGCAATGCGTTCAACAATCGAATTGAAAGCATCTAACGGTTGAATGAGTCGCTCAATGCTGTGCATAGAAACTAAAGCTTCTTTCGTTTGTTTATTCATTTAGTTCAAGTGTGGCACGTATTGTTGAATCGGCAAGTTGAATCAGCAAGAAAAAACAAGCAAAAACAACAACAACAGGAAATCGTCTGCATTTTGAATGAAGCTCAAAAGAGCTCAGCTACAGAAAATAGTAGAAAAAAATATATTCATATATGAAGGGTGATTCTGTGTCTCGTCGTGTATTTTATGCGAGTGGTACATTGAATGAAACGTCTCCATTCAAAAAGCTTTTTCTTTTTGTTGTTTTTTTTATATTTCGGGCATTGTATTTTCAGTCCGATATCCAAACACATTACAGCACATGGATCATTATCATATGCGGCCTGTGTGCGTATTTTGTCTTTCATGCTATTGTTGTCTTTCTTCGCCGACGTTTAACAGTGTACAGCACACACACAGCACCCCATCAGAATGGAATACGGAATCATTTTCGTACGGAGAGTTTGAGGCGAAAGTTTGAATATGAATGTAAATAATCGCACCGCAATACGACACACATTCGCACGAAAAGGACGAACACACCGAGAGAAAGAGAGCAAGATATGTCTAATATATCGAAAACTCATAAATTCTGTCAATGTTTGTTGTGAGAGGGAGAGAATATGCATGCGATTGTGTGTTGGTATGTGTGTGTGTGTGTGTGTATGTTTTGGACAGGATCCAACAAATTTCGGTGCACATAGCGGAAAATGATGATTTATCCCATTGGCCGCGTACTGCATATAACGCGCTACACCACACGATGTGACGGACTTTTCCAGCTATTTCTCTTCCATGTGCTTGCTAAATGTCAATGTGCTGAATACGGGTGATGCGCCTGTGCAAGGCCACACCATCACCATCACACATTATGAACAGTGAAACATGGTTTGATCTGAAGGATTTACTGTGTGCACGTCTTCGAAACATTCCATTTCGAACTGACACAATAGCATTTTTGTTAAGCCGTCGAGTCTACATATAGAATCATATGCACACTGTGCGATATTTTGATGCCATACACACATTCCTCCACATTCCCCATTCGCTGAATTAAACCATTGCACCTTATTTACTTCGAATGTTTCGCCTGTTTTCTTCCTTACTTCAGAGCTGACTTGTACATACACATGATAATCATATCGTGTATCGACCGAAAACGTCAAGCTCGAGACACATAAGAACTCAAATATAACGAGTGCCTAACTGTCTTTGATGATTACAACCATACGCATTGAGCCAAGAGACAATCACCTAAATGAAACAATGTTGGAAATTGAATGGCATGTATTTCCATTTGCGACTATTTTCGGCTGGTGTCAGATTCCGGATGCGAGAGCGCGCGACAGCGGACGGGAGAGAGAAAGAGAGTGAAAGCAAGAGAATATCTTCCAAATTGAAAACCACAAATATATGTACATCGTATATATTTTGTGAAATGTTGTGATGTTGTGATGTTGTGACATTTAAATTCATACCAAATGGATTATGATACGCATGAAATGATGGTAAACATTTTGGACATTTATCATTTTCCATTCCAATTGCTGAAATTACCATTTAAAATTGAAACACATCTTTGCGACTCTCTCTCTTTCTCGAATGTAATTTCCAGAACTTAGCCATTTTCTAACAATTAACGAAATGTGATAGACATCAACAAACCACCACTACCACCACCACCACCAACATAAAATTCACCCAGTTAATTTCCGCTTGAAATTGAATCGCCCACAAAATATTCATACTCTGTTGATGCATGCGTAGGCGGTATTCTTTTTTTCAACATCAGATATGAGCCTTTCGATTAAAATTGTTTTCCACGACATTGAATTTGAATGTGCGTGTGTTTTGTGTCTAATTTGATCCATATCAGCGTATTTATATTGTGTATGTTTGTTGGCTTTTTTTTTGCAGGCAATTCCAAGCTGATCCATCAGTTGCATAATTCGGAGCATCCGACGTCTGTGTTTTCGATTTTGGATACGGGCACCAAGCAAATCCCATTAGTAGCTGATTCGCTCTTTGATTTGCTCATTCTCAAAATGCAACCAGCATATTCGTCGAAAAAACAAACGAAGGTTCGTACTAAACACACCAAACTCTCTCTCTCTCTCTCTCTCTCTTTCTCTCTCTCTCTCTCTCTTTCTCTCGATCGCACTCATATAACGAAAACGCTCTCTCAATAAATGGAATTTACATTGTGCCAAAAACCGATAATTCTATATCCTTTAATTTAAATTTTAATGGAAATTTGCAGATTGAATCGAAGGGGCCCCGTTTTGAGTTGTGTGATTTTGTCATCAAACTCGGCAGCGTTACCATGAGCCAAACATTCAAAGGCATTCTGGTTGAGGTAAGCCAAAGACAACAAACCGAGAATACAAATTGTAAACACGGCGCCGCATTACTACATTGCAATTATTTGTCATTTGTGTTGTTTCAGGTGGAGTATCGTCCATGTGTGATTCCGGCCAATTGCTGGAATTTGATACGTGAATTTATGCAAGGTTTTATGGGCGCTAATGTGCCGAATCAAATTCCATCTTATTTTACGGCCCAATCACAATCGCCAGGTGTCACACATCCGAAGCAAAACGATGTCTACCAACCCATTGATACGATCCAACAGTATTTGGAACATTTCAGCAATTATCGCAAGCAAACCAATGCACCTGTGGCCACTTCACGCACCTAATTTCCGCTATCGATTTCTCTCGGTCCCATTTTAAAATTCATATCTCATCCGAAAACTAACCATAATCAACATTATTTCAAATGCAGCAACCGAAGAGGTGAATGAAAACAAAGAAATAAGAGAGAAGAATTTAAAGTCGTAAATAAAAATTTGCAGTTTGCATTGGAACCGTAATTTTTGGCATTTTCATTATGCGTGTATTTTGTTTTCTTTCCATCCAAAGTAGAATGAGTCGATTTGTCGACTTCTGGAATTCATATTCAATATTTTGACACATGATTGGTATGTATTTTATGCAGTCTCCGCACGAAACGTTTGTCGCAACCGCACACTGCACAGTTGTACGAAGCCAAAGTAAAATATACGTAAACTCGTGCACAAAAACACACACACACTCCCGTGCACCCGACTCAATGTCAATGAACGCGACAGAAAAGAGATTTGGTTTAAAACACACACAGAAAAACCGCAATAAGACCACAATTTACATAAAACACTCGGAAAAGGTATCCACTGTCGCTTGAAATGGCTTTCGCTGATAACCTTAGCAACCAACCATCTCGCAATGAGACGCGTCTTGTTGCGTTGTGCCTTCTCTCTCTCTCTCTCTCTCTCGTCGAGCTGATTTTCGTTTGGACACTGAGAGTGGCTCGACTTTAATACTTTAATCCTTTTACTATCCCAAACTCGAGAGCCAAGCGCGTCGCAGTGACACATTACTAGCGTGCACGAAATACCGAACGACTCACATAGTCCCATATCTATGGCAAATAGTTTATGCATAATAATGTAAGTAAGTGAATCTGTTGGAGCTGTCAGTGATAATGTTGCAGACGGCACAATTTCAATGTGAAAACAATAATTTTCGAATAAAATGCGTTGGCAACGTTGTAAAAATTCCGAGAATCAAGCGTTTTATTAAAATCCATTGAGGTAAAGCGAGGGACGCGTTGTGAATACATATTACCGCCATCGTTGATTGTCAATATCGCAAAAGACAAATTATTCGTTGTGCGCCAATAAAAGCAACAGGAAAAAATGATTCTGCTCTAGGTATGACGGCGATACATTGCCAACGTCAAAAAGGGAACCGATTACGAATATTTCAAAAAAAAAATCAAAATGCAAAACAATTATGCAAATACTGGAGCAGCGCTGGAAATAAAACACGTCGAACCGATACTTTTCGAAACAGCAAGCGTAAAACAAACAAAAAAGCCGAAAAAAAATATAACATGGGCTTCAAATTAATCGGAACTAGAGAATGCGACGTCAGTGTTTGGCTGTTGAAATTGGGCACGCAGCCGCGCATAGCTTTGCATAAGAATCATCGTTCATCTGTTAAAGCAACAACGCGCTACATGTGAAATGACACAAAGCGAACAAGCACAACATATTGAAATGTGAGCGATTAACAACACCAGCACATTTTTTTTTCTGCATGCGAATCGACAACCATCAAATTGAAATCAGAGACGCTCTTATTTTGTTCATCATTTTTCTTCGTGCAATTTCTGCATTCTTTTTTTTCTGCTTCGTCGATGCAATGATCATTTTCTGGCTTTTGCTTCCTTTTACATTTCATGTTTCGGATTGAGTTTCTTTCCCAAACAATTCGCGCGCCCAATGTTGATCGGAGCTCGGCTTGCATCGTCGTGACTGTGTCTGTCTGCATATCGAGCAAATCATTTCGTTCGGACGATTTTTGCATGCAGTTGTTACATTTCACACACACGCTGCGTGGAAGTATCTCAGCCGACGACACGCTTAATTTCCAGTTAATTACAACGATATTTCACATTCATTTGCATCTTCTTCTTTTTTTCAACCACACCAGACATAAATCAAACAATGAAATCGATCAGATAATAAAGACTCTGTATTAAAGAGCAAACAGATGTGCTATAAAATCAATCGATGAACAACGGCGCTCGCGTACTCTCCGATCGATGAATGAATTCATGAACATAAGTATGTACAGCAATTGTTGCAATTTTGCATAGCAATAAGTGTTTTTACACCGGCAAAGAACACTTGCTTACATGACTTTTTAGCAATCGCTTTTTTTCACAGCACAATCAAATACGTACAATTCGATTCGTTGAGTGATTTATTTGTGACTTTGGATGTTAATTAGAAAAAAAATGTCATTGTTTCGAGTTCGAAGAATGCTATTGTTCTAGGAAGTGCATAAGCTTTTTGTTTGTATCTTTTTGTACTGTCTAATTCCCGTTTTTGTGCCTTCATTCGTTTTGATTAGATAAACAACTTCTTCAAGCAACTGCCATTAGCATTGTAAGTAGTTTTCTGGTACTTTTAATATATTTTGATTGAAAAGCAAATCGATTAATTATATGTGGCCATAGCTTGAGCGAATGAATGAACTTGACTACGTCGATCATTTTTTTTTCTTATTCAGTTTTTCCGTGAATTATTTAATGGATACGTCATTTGAATGAAGATATGGAGAATTGCATACCGACTGATTGATATTCTAAATTGCTTAGTCTTCATTTGACATTAAAAAAGCGTTATTAAATGATGAATTGTTTTTTTTTATTCGATGAAGCGATACAAATCAAAGCAAGTATTTTCTTCTTGTTTTTCGGTTAGATGAAAACGTTGGTACCAACGAATGACATCGTTGATTTTAATAATTGAAAAACAACAAACGTCAAGCTGAACAATTTACATCGAAATAATTGTTCGAAAATTGTCTCATTTCTATGTGATTTATTTAAATTAAGCGCCACATGCACATCGTTGAATTGCGAAACAGAAAGACAGACGCAGTAATTACACAAATACTGAATGCAATTGTCGATTAGTTTTGTTGTTGCGTCACGTAACATGACTCATGCTTAAATTTTAATGAACAAAACCTTTGGGTCAACCCATTTTAATTATTACTTTTCGAGATTGGTTCAGTTTTTGTAGCCTGCAACCATTTCGAACGGTATCAAATTGATATTTATAGCCTTCGAATGTTTTCATTTATCAGCTTAACAATACTTCGACCTCATGTGGCGGTCCTTTGATTTAAGGACGGAGCACTGCCCGCAACAAGAGGAGAGAAATATTTTCAATTTTTGCTTTATGGAAAATTCAAAGTAAACACTGTGAATCATCACTTCATGGATGTGTGTGGATTTGTTTTTAATCGAAAATTCGAATGAAATAACATTCAATTTCCAGATGTTGTAAAAAAAAAGATGCGCAATACGGCAGCCCAACTGGGCAAACGAGTGAATGACGCAGTGGGAGAGAAAGAGAGAATGAGTTTCAGTTGGTTTTGGTATTGCTGCGTTCGTCTGTATAAAATTGAATTATTCGAATTCTCATCGTCGCATTTTCGGTGCAACCCCAAATATACATAAACATTTGCTCTAAATTCTTGCGGTAATAATTTATTGCTGTTGCGCTTTTAATGGCAAAACCACATGAAAATCATCACACACTCACATTTTTTGGGTTAGTTTGCTGCCTCGTTGAAGAGAGTTCGGAGCTCCACTTTTGTAATTAAAAGTTTAATTTCTGCGGAGAGAGAGAGGCAAGGCGAACACGAACATATTTGTTTATGCATTTAAATGAAAATTTCTGGGTTGTTTGCTACTTACGAATGGCGATGCGGTCGTTTCTTTTTTTCTCTTTCAGGGTGGCTAGGATAATCATCCATTCATGATGCTTGATATTGAATCAACATCAACATGAATACACTGAGCAATGACTGAAATTGTTATCAAACTTTGAATGGCTTAAATAGAATAGCTTCTTTTTCATAGACTCTCTATGAGAGCGTAAAAAATTGCAAATAATCCGGCCATTGTGTGTGACTTGGCCATAAATCAAGTTTAAGCTTTTGAAAGCCAACGGCTGTTATTTGCACATGGACCAACGATAGATGATGGCCATTTGTTCACACCGATAACGCCATTGAAATCGACAGTCACATGTCATATTACTCTGTTTTTTTTTACTCTTTTCCTCATGTTTAGTTTGGAATATCTGCGCGGAGTAAATCTAGCGCACAACGGATTGCTCCTGCTAGTAAATTCGTTTGAGAAGTATTGAACTTACAACAAATGTCACAAAGAATCAAATCAGGTAGATCAATTTCTGCTTCGCAGTCAAGTAGGAGTTGAATTAATTTTTAATATACTTCATTTGAATAAGAAAAGCGGAGATAATGAATGTGACTTTATTTATTTAGAAATAAAAATACTGACAAATCAGACACTTTTATATAAGTGACTTGATAACTTTTCATGATTCAAATCAAAATAAATGAAAATTAGAAAAATGCAAAAAAAATTCGTTCGAGCTTTTAACTAAGTTATAATTCTATGGAATATTAGGATAAGTTGCTAGTATACAACACATAAACATCATCGTTGTCATCAATTCGTTTGTGTTTCCGGTAACTCTGCAAATGAAATGAAATGAAATGAAATTGTTAGAATATTTTAGTATTGTTCAATTTGATTACCTTTCAATACTGACCTGAATTGGTACCATGTGAGCACTGTTCACAAAATAGCTCCCAAGCATCAATCAACCTCGCGATGGAGTCGTGACCTTGTAACAAATTCATTTCTTTATTTTTGAATGAAATCTTGGATTTAACAAAAATCTTACCATATTGTCTAGCCATGGTTGCTACTGAAATATCAAAATAATTCGAGGAATGGATGTTTGCACCCAAATTTTTTTGGTTTTTTTTCATAATTTTGCCTAAAGGTTCATGTTGTGTCAGTTTTTGTAAATATGCATGTTTGAACAATTGAAGCTGGATCCAAAAGCTTGACATTTGGAATCAAAGGGATAGACATCATTAGAAAACTAGTGAAACATTAGTAAAATTAGCAAAAAAATATGAAATATTAGAGGAAATACAGCTGCCCATTTGAAATATATTGGTTCAATGCATTTCAAATGGAGATCTTTACCTCCATAAGGAATGTATTGAAACAATGTAAATCAAATGGCAATTTTGTTTTTGCTGATTTTTGAATATTTGTAAACAAATTCTACATCTAGAATACATTGTTCCTATGTAATTCTTATGCGAGAGCGTAAGATACACAGCACTGTACACTTCTTATGCACACAGTACCGTTAATCTACAGCGACGCTCTTCCATAAATAATGTACAGTGCTGTGTGTTCCTTATGGGC